TTGTTACTCAATGAGGCAGCAGAGGAGGGGCCATCAGGGTGCAGGTGTGGGAGGTTTGAAGAGTCCAGTCTTTCTGAAGTAGCGCACAATTAGAGGCACAGACACCAGAGTGATGCTGATGCGAACGGGAGCGAAGAGCTTGTGAATGGCGTAGGCCAGGACGAATGTGCTGGTTCCGGCGGCCATCTTGGACTGAACGAACGCCTCGCTGAAGCCCAGTTTGCACAATATGGCAGTCATGTCGATCCCACTGGGAACACAAATAACAGGAAATCTGTAAGTTGGGACCAGAAGGTGTTTGTGTGTATATACACAGTTAGGTCCACAGTACTCTTTATGTGTGCCTCTGCAAAACACTACAAATGGATTTTAAATCAGTCCCGCCTCCCTCCCACCGTCTCGCAGCAGATGGCTGCCTCTCCCCGAGTCTGTCATGTTTCAATAACTGAAGTTTTCTGTAGGCGTTTGCCTGTAAGTAGCTTTGTGGCTGGTACTGCAGAAGGTCTGCTCTAGGAACACAAATATAGATTAGTATGGAAAGTTTGGTTTGGTCAACAGAATACAACACTTTTAGCTTTTACCTGGGGAAATGTTTAGAAACATTAAAAGTGCAAGATTGTGTTTCTTACCTGTGTGTTGTCTCCCTGAGGCTGTTAGGCCGACAGAGCCCCCGGGCATGCTGACCATCCATGTTTTGGAATAAGAACATCGTTTTATGTTATAGATCGTTGACCATGTGAGGAGATATTTATTTAAAAGTCTGTATTTGTTTAATGTTAAAGATTATTAGGCAAGCTGTGTGCTAATTTTACTAGTTTAGTATTTAATATTTAACCACACAATGGTCTGGCAAAGAGGTCAGTTTGTACTTCTCGGTGTCTCTTCACCCTCTATTCATTGGCCTGCCTCTTTTTCTCCTTCCACGGAGCACCGCTGAATTTTGAAGATTCTGACCCTGGTGTGTTGCCTAAGTACTCTTGAGACACTTGGTAGCAGTGTAGAAAA